ACCACCCTCTGGGGGAAGAACCTTTCCCTGAGATCCATCCCAACCCTCCCTGGCGCTGGATATGGACAGTGCTGTCCATGCAGGTGCCGGGAGCAGGGAAGTGCAGCAGGGTGAGGGTGGGCTGTGGCTGTTTGGGATGTGCTGGAGGAGCTGCAGCTCCCGGCAGTGGCCTCACAATGTCAGCTGTGCCCCGTGCTCCGAGCCAGGGAACGGTCTGGATGGATCCCGCGGGAAAGGGCTCACGTGTCCTTCAGCCAGATCAGCCTGGAGGGCTGCAGGGACATCCCACTGCCTGCAGGTCCCTCTGCCCCTGCTCCATGTTAGCTGTGAGTCTTGGGGTTCCTGTGTCCCCACAATGGGATTTTCTTTGGCTGCCCATCTGTTCTGCCCGTCCTGGGGCTGAGTGGGGTCAGCCAGGGTGTGAGGGGCTGATCTGTGTGTCCATCCCTGCCCTGTCTGTGTGGGTCCCCCAGGGTGAGGGGCTGATCTGTGTGTCCATCCCTGCTCTGTTTGTGTGGGTCCCCCAGGCTGTGAGGGGCTGATCTGTGTGTCCATCCCTGTTTGTGTGGGTCCCCCAGGGTGTGAGGGGCTCATCAGTGTGTCCGTCCCTGCCCTGGGATATGTGAGGGGCTGATCCCTGTGTCCATCCATGCCCCTGTGGGACTGGACAGAATCCCAGAGTCACTGAAATTGGAAAAGCCCTCCCAGGCCGTGGAGGCCAATCCCCACGTTGTCAGCCAGAGCAGGAGGACAGAGAATCCCCATCAAGGGTTTGTTTGTTTGCTCTCAGGTTCCCCAAGATGCTGCAGATCCCGCTGCCCCTGGACCGGGATGGGATCCTGTTCCGGCTGCGTTTCACCACGCTGGCCCTGGGCACTGTGTTCTGCCCCCTCTTTGGGTTCCTCTTCTGTGTGATCTGGTCCCTGCTCTTCCATTTCCGTGAGACGACCGCGACCCACTGTGGGGTGAGAGATTCCCATCAGAAAAACCCAGATTCCTCTGGGGCTGGGGCACCCAGAGGGGAGACAGAGCTCCTGTGTCCTCCTGGGCTTCCCTCTCCTCCTGGGCTCCTCCCTCTCTTTCCCTCCTCCTGGGCTGCTCCTCCCATCTCTGTCCTGGGCTCCCCGGTCTCTCCCTGCCCTCCTGGGCTCCTTTCCTCCTCCTGGGCTCCTTTCCTCCTCCTGGGTTTTCCCACCAGCAATGTTGCAGAACCCAGAACAAGCCACTTTATTTCACTGTCCTTATGATCCCTCGGGACTGGGTTTGCCTTTGTAATGGGACCAAGGGAAGTACAGACTGGTCAGGCTGGTGTCTGTGCTGGGCTCGTTGGGGTGGTTGTGGTGATGAAAACGGTGGGGAAGCTGCAGGGGAGTCCATTGTCCTGTAGAAGGGCTGGTCCAGAACTGCTGTCCCCCAGATGTACTGGAGTTCAGAGGAGTCACAGGCTCGTGCCTGGGGAGGCATGGCCTGGAGTTCCAAATGGGATGAGGTTGGGTTCCTCCCCAGAGCTTTCAAGCTGCTGGATGAGCAGCTGGATCTGAGCTGGGAACCGAGGGCAGGAGTCACCTCACTCCAGCAGAGAACTTTAGCAGGGCCTGTTGCAATAGGACAACGGGGAGTGGCTTCCCATGGAGACAGGGCAGGGTTAGATGACATATGGAGAAGGAATTCTTCCCTGTGAGGGTGGGGAGGCCCTGGCCCAGGTTGCCCAGAGAAGCTGTGGCTGCCCCTGGATCCCTGGAAGTGTCCAAGGCCA